ATTTCAATTCATCGAGATAGTTCTGCTCCCAAGCTGTGTCATAACATGCTTAAATGGTTTGATTACAAAAAAAATAAAAGCTGCGCAAGAGGGTCTGCACTGTGTTGCGCAGTGTTAGTGTCCCTGCCTCTGAGCTAGAAGGCCTGAGTTCAAATCTTTCCTGTCCAGAGGTGTGTACTAACAACTCTCTGAACAGGTTGATTAGAAAATATACTGGGGGGAGGGTTTGTGGCTAGGTAGACCCCAGTTTAAGTACTGCCTGCTCTAGAGGCGTGTTATAACTTCACTGAATAAGTTCATTAAAAATATCAAAAAGAAAATTCCTCTTCTTTCTATTTTTCTCTTCCCCCACCCCACCCCTTATGTTAGTATAGTATGAAGCAGAAAGAGCCAACGATTTCAAGTAAAAGTAGGTGGTCCTGTACGGCATTGGGAAATCATGAAACATGAATCAGTAGAGGCGATAAAGGATTCTGTAGTTTGGGCTAGCAGTAGGCACTATGTTATTGAGATTAGAAAGCCAAATGGCTATTATCTTGCTGAAACTAAAGTAATGGCTATCACAAAATAAGAGGAAGTACCCTTTGGTAAGGAAAAGAGGGTGGCTAAATACCATGGTACTTCAGAAATAAATAGGGAAAAGCAATATTGCATCTTCAAGCAACAGAAGTTGGATGAAGATTTGAAGTGGAGGGCAATGCAAGCCTTTGGGATAGAGAAGATTGGCAATTGGGAGTAACTTTGGGATTGTTTTTGTGAACTCTATCCTGCAATAAACGCAGTGGTTTTCAGTGGGATACGAATTTGTGACACAGGTTGACTGGGAATGGGTTCTGTTCAGTTGACTGAAGTTTTCATCTGTCTTCAGTCTTCCTCTCTCATACACCAAACCACTGAAATCCAGGCTTTATTAACCCTTAATAGGTAGTACTCACTGTGTAAGATATACATCCCAAACTCTAATTGGCTTAACGGTGCATGAACAGTTCATGGTTATTCTTGGAATTGGCGAGGTGGTGTCAGCTAATTCCTGATTGGTTTCCCTAAAAGTAATGGTGGTCTTGCCCATATCACTTATAACTGTTTCGTTACCTATTCTTTGACATTTAACACACATGTATATGTTATGTATGTGTACATAAACATAACCTGTTACATACCTGAAATGACTAAGCTAAACCAAATCAAGAGATACAGAACTCTGTTCTTGCGTAAAAGCTACAACCACTTAAAAACACATTCTCCATCATGTTTTTGTCTAAGTTTACATTACCCTGAACTGTGAAACAGCAATAAAACCTAAACCTTATTTTTGGCCTGGCCATATGGCTTTTTTCCCTATAGAAACTGTTCCGAAACTAACCACAGTCAAGTAGAATATAATGTCATTCTTCACGTATTTAACCAAATCAAAATGAATAATTATGGAAAAATAACTCAATCCTACACGATCTACGTCACTCATGCAACAGTGGAGGTGGGTAAATGGATGTTGAGGGAACATTAATGTGGTGAGTTGCACTGCTTCTCTGCCAAGAGAAATAAAGATTTGCATCTGTCAATGGCCAGCTAAAGATAGGTTCCCTGCATTAACTCATTATCAAATCCATTGGTGCAGTGATTGGTATCAATCCCACACAAAGTAAGTATAATCTATTCAGCAGTACTGGCAGCATCTGAGAAGAGACCAACAGTTAAGGTGAAAAATTCTAGGTCATTCACCCTTCACTTGATGAAAAATCATTTGACCTGGAATACTGAACCAAGAGAAGAATTGAACAAAGGTGTTTTCTTGGTCAACCTGAACTGCAAAGGTGGAGTCTATTTCAGGCAACTGATAACAAGGCATAAACCAGCACGTGTTTATATATAGAGATAACAAGGGGTAGAGCTGGATGAACACAGCAGGCCAAGCAGCATCATAGGAACAGGAAGGCTGACGTTTCGGGCCTAGACCCTTCATTAGAAATGGGGGAGAAGAAGGGGGTTCTGAAATAAATAAGGAGAGAGGAGGAGGCGGATAGAAGATGGATAGAGGAGAAGATAAGTGGAGAGGAAACAGACAGGTCAAAGAGGCGGGGATGGAGCCAGTAAAGTTGAGTGTAGGTGGGGAGGTAGGGAGGAGATAGATTTATATATATTGATGTTTATGTATTACTTGTTTAAATTTCAGCAAGTAACAGTGAATTTGTGTCCAGCAAATTATTTGTTGATATCTCCAGAGTGACTTAGAAAGAAATGAAGTGCAACAGGCACTCTGGATCACCCCATGAGTCCTGAAGGGTACAATATCTTTGTATGACTATTTTCTACCCTTGCAATGTAAGGACTGTGGGGTATGCTTGTGGGCAAAGCAATGGTATGTTTGGAAGGAAGCCTACAAGACACTAGTAGGAGCAAGTTGTGGGAGGAACATGTTCCTATTACACACTGTTGGCCACACTTTGATCCTTGCTCAAGTTTTCTACCTTACAACTACTTGCTTTATGTTTAAATAACTTACCAAAATTTATTCCATTAACCATTCTCACTGAATATTCACTAGCTTTAGTTGAACATCCAACTTGCCTTCTGAAGAATCTTAGGACATTTTAAAAATTGTGCATAAATTCAAGGAAAGCATTGAATTGGCTACAATCGAGGTATCAATGGCGAGTAGAGCTGTATTATTGTCATTCTCAATTCTCCAGTGGCCAACTTACACCAAAGTTAGCTAGAGAACTGATTTAGAATATAACACAGCAATCCCAGTACTGAGTATGAAGCAAGATTGGCAATGCATTGATACCAGAGTGAAAAATCTTTAAATGTCATCAAATGTTTATAAACACCGAACTATTAGTATAACAGCAGCTTATGGTTGACAAGATGGTGATTAAAATATTTACTCATCACAAATCTTATTGCTAACTTAGACAGCTAAACTTTTGATGTCTGTTACCTTTTGTAAGGTAAAACGAATTTTAAAGGCCATCTGAAACAGCATGTGTAGAAATGGCTTAACATACTACTAAATAAATTGTTTTTTCCTTCTGGTTTGACGACACATCCATGCACATTGATTATTTTGGTAGATTTCATTACCCACTTAGTAAACTAAAAGAGAAGATAAAGGGTGTAGATAAGAACACTCATTGTTGTTATACTACCATTCATTAGTGTTACATTTTATTGAATTTGCAATTGCCTTTCTGCTATTCTGCTTGATGTAATATCTTTTTACTTGCCTATATATGGAATAAGAAATAAGAATTTAGTAATTGGTTTCAAGTCCATGCTTATTGTGATTCTCATTGGAATATCTGTATGGATATTAATAGAATTTAATGTATCCACGGGTTACTAATGTTGCAATTTCTTTGTTATGGTAGTAATACAAAAGCAATAAAGTAACAAGTAATAGCCTATTATCCTAATGCTTCTTAAAATGGCAATGGTTATAATGTCAAATCAAGTAGTAACCATTATTTCACTTCTGACAACAGGGCTGGGGTTCTCTTTGGATTGATCTTATGCACAAAACGTGGGTAATGAGGCATCAAAAGCAGAAAGGACACCCCTCCTCCTTCTGTTGTAACCATCTAAAATGAGCTCTCAACTTAAACTGCAATCTTCAGTATCATGTTATTTTTAAGCTTAAGTGGCAGTGGCCTGAAGACTGGCTTAATTCCCGCAAATTTAAGGTTGCCATTGTTTTCAATGGGGCAAAGGTATTATACATACCTTTAATCTGTTAGGGCTGTAGTGGTGCAGTGGTAGTGTCCCTACTTCTGAGCCAGATGGCCTGGGTTCAAGTCCCATGTGATTCAGAGGTATATAATAAAATCTCTGAACAACGTGGCTAGAAAATACGTCTTACTCTTTTCAGTGAGGGATAATGGGGTAGTGCTGAAACAGAGTAGCTAAATAACAGTGAAAATTACTATCCTATAGTTCACTGCAACTTTTTTGGAAGAATAATGGTATTCATCACAGTGCAAGTTTGTAGCAAATTCAAGGCCAAATGTTGCTGGAAAATAAGTGTATTGATGACTCTGGTTACTTTTAATGTGCCAACAAGTTCAAGGGATTCAAAGTTGAACCTGAAGCTGTTAATCTGTAGAATTTACCAGTTGATTTGTACCCCACCATTATATACTTTGCATAAATGACGTTTTTACGGTCAGTGTCACAATTATTTTTACAAATTTGTTGCAATTCACATTAATTGTGCCTTAAAAACTCTACAGATTGTTAAGATTTAATAGCATAAATATCTTTTCTTTTCAGGACCTTTATAATTGTTAATACCATCCCAATGAACCTTACTGCTCCATAAAGGCAATAATTAAAACTATTCAGTCTAGTTGCATGTCATAAATGATTAGAGATTTTTAATGTCTTTAATTTTAAATGATCACTTTATCTTTTCTTTTGTCTCTTTCTTCTGTCAATTCGGTCTTTATTTCTCTCTATTTACCTGGTTTGACGCCATTATAATTTGGTGTTCATCTCAGTTTTTCCTTGATTTACTTTTCAATCTTAAGTTCTAGTTTTATACCATCCTGTTACTCACTAAGGTTTCAGCTGCCTCATTGCCTTGGTCACAGGTATAATCAACCTTTTACAGCCAGCAAATTACAATGCTGAAGAAATTTGAACAGAAGGGAACAAGAACTGACTAACTGACAGCATGTGCAACAAGGTGTTCTGCTACGTAAATTTAACAAATTAGTCAGTTGTCGACTTGAGTCAGAAACTTTCTAGTGATGTTTTGCACACTTTCTTTGGCTGATAGGGACATAGATTCTGTCCACCACTGCTTCCAATCAAGACTGACCAAGAGCTTTTACTTGTGGGAAAACAAAGGTGTAATGTAGAAACATGCAGTATCAGTAAAATTGCAGTGCACTAATTTCAGTGGAAGTAAATCCTGTTGTTATGACAATCCTTTTGTTGTGCAGTTGAAGCCATGACCGGTAGTATTGTAATGTTTGGTTTATTTTTATGATTGCTAACAGATGGAGCACAGACATCGCAAGAAAGATACCCCAGTACCGATGAGTACCCATCACCTCTTTCTGCAGATGAAAAGTCTGATGTGTGCTAATCTAGGCGAAGAACTAGAAGTCTTCTTTTCAATTTATGATAGCAGGGAAAATCATCCAGTCAGGTGAACTGAATTAATTTATTTTTTTGAAAAATAAACATTTAATCTTCAATATAATTTAACAAGTTTGAATTGTAATTGCTGTGGGAAATGCATATTGTTAATCTGCTATTTTAGCTACCAATCTGATTTATGTGAGAAAGGATGTTCTAGCCATGGAGGGAGTGCAACAAAGATTTACCAGACAGATTCCTGGGATGGCAAGACTGACATAAGAAAGAAAAACTTCATCAGTTAGGACTATATTCACTGGATTTAGAAGAGTGAGGATGAGATCTCATAGAAACCCACAAAATTCTAACAGGACTAGATAGGATAAATGCAGAAAGGATTCTTCCAATGACTGGTGAGTCCAGGATCAGGGTTATAGCTTAAGATACAGGGTAGACCATTTAGGACTGAGATGAGGAGAAATTTCTTCAGTGGTGAGCCTGTGGAATTCTCTGCCACAGAAAGCAGTTGAGGCCAAAACATTGAATGTTTTAGAAAAGATGTTAGGTATAGTTCTTAAAGCTAAAGGGTTCAGGATCTAAAGCATCATTAGTGAGACAGCTCTTTTCTTAAAGGTGAATCAGTGTTGATCAGTTACAACTAAACTGTGAAACATTAGCTTGTTACTTTGAATTAACATACACTGGTTCTGAAATTCCTGGGTTTGGACAGAAGTCAGCAATTCACAGATGTGTTGTAGCACAGAAGGTGCCCATCCAGCCCATCACGCTTGCACCAACTCTTCAAAGGAGCATAATTTCCTTGTGCCAAACTCTTGCACTTTTCATGGTCCAGGAATGTCCAGACAAGACTTGACAAGATTCCATTGGAGATGTGTTGTACACTGCTCCTGCTTTGCTTCCCTTTAACCTTGCACTTTCACTTGAAATAAAGAATGGAGTGAGCTCTGCTTACTTAGAAGCAGTCTTTGTTTTGATCACCACATATTATCTATGCTGATACATTAATGCGGTACTGAATGAATGCTACATTGCTGGAGGTGCTGACTTTTTAACTGAAGCCTAGTCTGCCTGTTCAGATAGATATAAAGATCTCTCAAGCCTCAAAGAAGAGCAGGGAACTTAAAGATCACTCACAGAAAACACGACTCTCAAAATAGGTGATCTGCTCATTCATCTCATTTGTGGCTGTTGAGAAATTCCTTTTTGGAAAATCATCAAATTTGTTATGTAACGGTCGTCACTGCACTTAAAATAAATCCATGGTTTATGAAGCATTTTAGGCCATCATGAGGATGCATGATATAAATTTTTAGAAGTTCTCTTCAAAACAATTTTGGAAATGAGTTTCCTTCCATATTCTTTGTTATATACCATGACTTACTATCTGCATTCTGACTGGAAAATTATATAATTTGCTTACAGAGTAAATGGTTAATTGTACCCATATTCTACTAATAGTGACTGAGCATGTGTAAGGAGGCATGTCAGTGTTAGTAAATCATGTAGAACGGAGGCATGATGAATCCCTGCTCTAACATGCTTCTCCATAAAATTTATAGCTAATAAATGTTATTAGTTTGCACCAGTCCTGTGTTCAGCCCTTGTATGTCTCAATTTTCAAGAAACTCCAAACAATATCCTTAAATTGCCTACCATAAATGATGGTACATCTTTCCATGGCTGATCAATGCCAAGTATAACCTGGAGTTTTCAATCTGGGTGCAATCAGTGGTTCAGTTGAACAGTGACCAAAATGGAATTTCAATTTTTTTTAACCTCTTCTCAAGTTTCCACTCGATTCTATTTACATGTCACTGAACATGAAATTTGTCATGCACTAGTGCAATCAAATGCTTTGAATGTAATTTAAAGATTGGCGTTAAAAGGATCTTGATCTTTTACAAGTGGTAGCTTGATGCAGTTTGACTAATACAACTGAAAATAGCTTTACCACAAAAATAGGTATGTTTTATTTAGAACCTAGCTCTTCATCTGTGAGTAGACTGATTTTTAAATAACTGAGACTAACTTTAGAAAGCTACACAGGCTCAGTTGTTAGTTATTTTGGTTTATGGTAGTCTGTTTCTTATTGAATGGAAAACAAAGAAGAACTTGAATGAAAAATAGAAAATTCTAGAAACACTAAATTGGTTTGGCAGCATCTATGAACTGAGAAGGAGTTGCCACTTCAAGGGCTATGACAATTCATCAGAAATTGAAGAATACATTACTGTGCTGAAGACAGTTGGTGTTTAAAATCCCACTGTTTTTTGTATTGATTTTGCAATTTTGGGTGAATTGTACAATAACGTCAACACAATTGTGTGGATACTCCAGGATGCTATCTAACTTTTCCAGAAAGGTGATTTGGTGAGTCGAATTATAGGAGGAATTTCAACTTTTCAATGGTGGTTGTATTTCTGCATGGAACAGCGATAAAACTAAACAGGCCAAGAGTTAGACAAATTTGGATGTATTTCAGTGGTTTTATAATGACTTTTAATTTTCACCATAATAAACCCACATGTCACTGTGGCATATTACTTTATTACCATTGGGAGATGACATTTAACATAAACATTTAACTGTTACAAACATTGCACAAATGCTCAGCAAAATATTAAGTATCAGATGTGTTGGTACATTGCAGAGGACGCTTCACATTTATTCGAGAGAAGGGAACAGAGTACTATGCTGATAAAGTTAGATAAGCAAGAATGGATGAAGGCTCAATCAAAACAAAACCATCAACATAGTCTGTTGAGGCCAATTGGCCTGATTGCTGGATATTCTATGCAGTTTATCTCTTCCTCATTAAAGGTTTATTATTTTCCAGCAGTCGCTGAAATTGTGGTCTTATGTTATTCTGAGTTATACAGAAATTTACATATACAAATTAAATGGATGTTCATGCTCATGAAGCAAAACACATAGCTAGAAATCTGGTGAAGTTTAGCTTTGTGGCAACTTGAGTTGCTGTGTTTTGCAGTTTGATAACAAATCTGCCTTTTCATCTGTGAAATTGAAAACCTGTCGTGCAGAATTGCTCAGAACAAATTATTTTGTTCAAGTGGACTTTTCATTTATTTTTCTGTTCTTTTCTTAATCTTTCTTTAAAAAAGAGAAGGCAAGCTTGACTTTGGAGAAAACAGATTAAACAGCAACATAATAGTGTGGAATTAGTCTAATTATTTAGTTGCAATGCACTAATATATACATAAAGGAAAGAGGAAAATGTTTTGGAGGTCCCTTGCTCAGTGGTTCTAATCCCTGGAAGACCTTCTGGATGTATAATCACCAGTTCATTACAGAGGAATGGAAAATAATCAGAGTTCAATGCCCAGGTAATGAGGAGGGTACAAAAGGATTTTGTGTTTCATGCTGCCTGTGAAGAAAATCTTGTGGTTTATTGGTGACAGTTTGAAGGAGCATGACATCCTAAGTTGCAGGTTTGCAGTCGCATACTGGCCTCTAGATCTTGGCAAACTGATCTGCCTTATGGGGGATAGTAGGAACTGCAGATGCTGGAGAATCTGAGATAACACCTGATTTCATAGCCAAAATAGATGTTA